CAGCCGTGTCCAATATGAAAAAAAAAAATTCAGACACGCCAAATTGCGTGTCTGACACGTGTCCGGCACGTGTCCGGGCGTATCTGTGTCCGACACGTGTCCGACACAGATACTTCGCCCAAAAATAAGTGTCCGTGTTTTATAGGTATTGGATGTGAGTATGGTCGAACTATCACTACACTCATTGTTAGGGTTGGCTTCACCTAAAACAAAGATTCTCAAAGTAAAAGTAGCGCTCGATGGAAAGGACGTCCTTGTATTAATTGATAATGGGGCCTCTCATAACTTCATCTCTAYTGGTTTAGTGAAGGAGCTGAGGTTTCTGTCGAGTGAAACTTTGGGGTATGGGGTGGCTTTGGGAACTAGGACCCTGGAATCCATTAGAATCTATAATGAGTGGTTCTTGTTTGCCCAGAAGTGATGACTATCCAAGATTTCCTTTTAATTATGTTGGAAAACGTTGATGTAATTCTAGGTGTATAGTGGCTTACGACACACGGGGCATTCACACTGAATTGGAGTGTTAACTATGAAATTAAAAATGGGTGAATGGAAAGTCGTATTGTGAGGGGATTCTAGTTTGCAAAAGACCAAAGTATTATTGAAAGCAATGATGAAAGCTATCATGAGAGAGAAATCTGGCATCTTGCGAGAATTTAATGCTGTTGCGCTGGCACTAAGTGAGGCTGGATGGTCCAGCCCTACTGAGATTTCTGTTGAATTGCTTGGAGTACGCATCAGTTTGTTTCCATATTTCTTTRAAACACTAGGCTACTACTATTTTGTGGGAGAGAATATGTGATTGAGCTTCAACCTGGAGTTGAGCTTGTGAGTGTTAGACCTTACTGATATTGGTAGTTTTAGAAGGATGAAATTGAGAAATTGGTGCGTGAGATGTTGTTAGTTGGAATCATGCAGCCCAACACGTGTCCTTTCTCCAGCCTAGTTCTACTTGTGTGAAGAAAGGATGGAAGTTAGCGATTTTGTGTTGATTATAGAACGTTGAATAAAGTCATAGTTCCCGACCAATTTCTGATTCTGGTGGGTGAGGAATTGGTTGATGAGTTATATGGTGCCATAACATTTTTCAAATCAATTTGAAATGAGGGTATCATCAGATTCAAGTTCTAAAGCGGGATATACCCAAGAGGCCAAGACAACTTTCTGGACCCATGAAGGCCACTACAAATTCCTTGTCATATCCTATGGTTTGCAAAATGCTCCTTCAACATTCCAATCTGCCATGAATGAAGTGTTACGACCCTTAAGTTTGCTATGGTTTTTTTACAATAATTTGGTTTAGAGCATGTCTCTGCAGAGGCATTATCCAAGCACCAACTGATCGCTAATGAAGAAATGCCAATTTGGTTTCTSCAAAATCGAATACTTGGGTCATATTGTTTTGAGAAGTGGAGTGGTAGCCGACCWAGCTAAAATTGTGGTTAGGCGAGACTGGCTTGTATTAGTATAAAAGAACTTAGGGGATTCCTCATCCTCATGGGATACTATTGCAAGTTTGTGGCAAGATATAGGGCACTCGCTTTTCCCTCGACTATGTTATTGAAAAAAGAAAAGTAGAAAACTTTGTGCCGTTCCATTTTGCGGAGACTCGTATTTTTTTTTATCTAAAATCATTCTATCATTTCTATACAAATTCAATAAAATTCAATTTAGATAGATATATAGACATTTTCTATTTGCCCCTCTTTCTATTATTTTCTAGTGCAATTTTTAATACTTAAACGGTAGATTATTTTTTTCGTTTTAGCCTCCACCTTTCAGAATAAAAACTGAGAAATGCTATAATTGAGAAGGTASGTGTTGTGGCCTACAAATTAGCATCGCCAGAATCAGCTAGTACCATATATCCATCCAATTTTTTAGGTCTCCCAGTTGCAAGGGGTGTGGGTTACACTCTGCTAGTTTTATTCCTTTTTTTTTTTAACAAGAAACAACTTTTTATTGATATATGAAAAAGAAAAATGTTCAAGATACAAAACCCCAAGGGGGTGGAAAAGAAAAGAAAAGAGAGAAGAATAGAAAAATAACGAATAAATATTGCAACAAGAGCGATACAAGCTCAAAAGAGATAAAAGCATTCTAAAACAGAACTCAGAAAAATTGCAAAGCTTTAAAATATGCCTTATTTTAAAGCTTTGCAGTTTTAGTTCGGTTGGTTGGTTGATGAGGTTTTCAAAGTCTTTCACCAGTGTATGGTTTGACATTTAGTGGTTTATATATGGAGGCTTTTTGAAGACAGCATTGAGGCTTTGTATTTGATGTTTTCTCCTTATTAGCATTTTGGCTACAGTCTGTTCTTGTGCCTTATCTTCTACTTGGTTCTTTTTAGAGTTTTGGTCTCCGTTCTTGGTGCTAAAGAAGATTTTTCCCTCATGCAGTTGTTGTCCCTGGATTTAGTTTTATCTTTTTTTTTTAGAACAAGATATGAACTTCTCATTGAAATAATGAAAGGGAAATACAATGTTTAGAGGATACAAACTGCCAATGGGAGTGAAAGTAAGAAGTACAGAAAATTGCCAAAGAAAACCGCCAAAGGATAAATCAGAAGAATAAAAAAGACACTTTGTTGCGCAAAATCCATGAAGCTTGACAATGAGACGTGCCAAAAAATTGAATTGAACCCCTCCACCTGGACTTAAAAGGCTGTAAAAACATCAATAGAGAACAAGCAAAGGAGGGCTCGAGACTTCAGCTTTACAATGAAAAACTTCATCTTTTAAGAGACCATCTTCAATAAAAAATAAAATCTGGCTCATCTTCTGGTCTCATACTCCAACTACCATTCGGATGGCAGATTTACCTTTCTTCTAGCCCGAGCTTCTTCACAAGAAACTATTTCTTTTTGCAATCTGTGGGAGCCTTATTAAGGGTATAGGGCAATATTAGTTTGTTAGTATGAAGGGGTAGTATGGTAATTAGTTAGGGGTAAGATGGATATAAATAAGGATAGTAGGGAAGAAGAAGAGCATCTTGGGGAATAGTATTTTGGTGAGGAACTTGAGAGAGTTCTTGGGGGAGAGATAGTCCTCTCAAAAGGCTATCGATATTGTAGTTTCGATTTGAGATTACAATATAGTTATCTCATTAGGTTCTCTTTAGGTCCTTGTATTTGGGATCCTAACACAATCTTTCCAATAATAATTTTAGATATTGAAGCCAACTTTCTAAATAATGGGAAGAGTCTGCAGTAAAACAAATGAAGGGGGTAAAGAACTCATTTGAAATTATAAAAACTCTAAAGAGAACACTCACCGCTGCTTGTTTTACCCTCCGAAGAACTTGACTACCGAGGGAGTATCGAGGGAGTATTGAGGGTTCAGTCGGCTGAAATCTTGGGAGTAAGAGTTTCTGAGTGATCCGAAGGTGCTGGTGCATTGGGAAGGTGCAACTACTCAAGAAACTACCTGGAAACCGATTGCCAGTATAACTGCTCAATTTCCTAATTTTCACCCAAGGTGTTTCTTTGGGGTGGAGTGATGATAGCCCTCTAGCTACTAAGGTGTATGCAAGTAAGAGAGGTAGAAAGGCAAAGTGGACAGTGAGCGTCTATGGGCTAACTTGGGGGCCCAAGTTAGTTATGGTTAGGTCATTTTTTTTYTAACAAGAAACAACCTTATATCGATATATGAAAAAGAGAAAAATTTCAAAGATACAAACTYTTGAAAGAGTGAGAAAGCGAAGGRAGAACAAAACAAAAAAAGAGGCTCAACAAGGAGTGATACCATCAAAATAAGAACTATGAAAGCCAACAATAAGATCATGCTAATCAAAACGATCCACCAAGATATGAGGACACGAACACGAACAGGATAATCTTCAAGAGTCTTTAACTTCAGGCCCTCTGTCCGCTCCATCTTTATCTTTTAGAAAGAGGATTTTGAGTTCCTGGAAAAATTTGGCTTGAATTTCAGYTTTTTCTCTAACCCGAGCAGCTTGTATCTCCAATCTTCTTCTAGCATACTCTTCTAACAACAAAACCCGTTCTTTATGAAGCTTGACAAGCTCGGAGTTCAGAAAGACCAAATATGCATCCAATTCTGTTGAGAGAGGGAGAGGCTTTAGCTAGTATCTGTTAGCGAGAGCGTAGAGAGGTAGGGAGCCCTTGAAACCTCCCCTGGGCGTTGTAATCCTCCTCTCTGTTTATGAATAATAGAAGAGAGTTCTATCATAAAAATTGCAACTTCTTAGAAAATGGCTCCTCCTTATATTAGTGTTTGTGCCTCTTCAATGGTTGCCTTCTATTTTATTGTGCTATTGAATTTATCTGATGTTATGTTCATACAATCACAAAATATAAACGAGGTTATCTTATTTTTTTCTCTTGAACATGTTGCTTTTTCTAAATTGTGTTGGGGTCTGTTGCAGCCAATTGAACTTTGGACTGGCAAACAATTATTTAGTGTCCTGGTTCGCCCACATGCAAGCATGAAGGTCTACCTGAATCTTACAGTTAAGGAGAAAAGCTACAGCAAAGTTAAAGGAAATGAGAGAGAGCGAGAAACTATGTGTCCTAATGATGGGTTTGTCTACTTCCGCAATAGTGAGCTAATATCAGGTCAAGTTGGGAAGGCTACTTTAGGTAAGTTTATTGTATAATACTTTGTTTCTAAGAAGGCAATGACAATGAACGTCCTTTAAATATTTCTACTTATGCCTTCTTATTCAATGCTTAAGTAAGTTTGGCTGACTTGGTTGTATTTAAGTAACACTATTAAGTTGATTTCAAAATTTTTAAACTTCTTCTTTCTCTTGGTAAGTCATTTTTCATACTTTAAGTTTCTGATCCTATCCCAGGAAATGGCAACAAGGATGGTCTTTATTCTGTTCTTCTTAGAGATTACAAGGCACATGCTGCTGCTGTTTGCATGAATCGTCTTGCTAAGCTGAGGTAATTGGCAACCTGTAACAGGTTCCTTTCACTGTATGTTGCATTCCATTTTCATTGTTGGTGATTGTAGCTTTTTTGCTTTTCTTATTACAGTGGGGACCAAACTAATGATATCTTTCARTAGTTTGCTTTTTTGGGCTGTAGTAGGGCCAGGTGGTTGTCCCGTGAGATTAGTCGAGCTGCGTGCAAGTTTGCCCGGATACTCACGGATATAAAAAAAAAACCAATTTTTAGATTTATTTTTAAAAATGACTAAATATATTATTTTGTACTTTATATTTGTGCTATTTTTCAATTCCATCCCTAATCTTCTAAAAGTTTCATTTTCATTCTTTATGTATTATTTTAAATCAAATCCTTACTCTCATAAGATGCTAAAATTTATTATGAAATAATAATATGACGTTAAAATTTATTTTATTTGTGGAATTGAAAATATCTTATACTTTGATCAACCTAATGGACATGTCAACCCATTAAATCTAACTCATACTAAATCTCTAACTTGAAGTGGCTTGCTGCTATACAAAATGGAGACTCATTGTGAATGGTATTATATTAACAACCCTTATAAAATTCACAAATCTTTTAATGTATAGTGATGGACTAGATTGGAAAAAAARWTCAATACATGAAGAATGAAATTGGAGCTTTTAATTTATTCGGGATGAAATTTAAAATTGACATATGATCAGAGATAAAATTATATATTTAACCTTTTAAATCTATTCTCCTAATTCTTTGCTATGACAATGCATAAGCAAAGCACTGATATGGAAATTTTGGATCCCTCAATTTGTATGGAACATTATCTTTAGATGCCCTATGTTGGATAGGGAACAAATTGATTGGAATAGGTTTTGTTGCCGCTTGAAGAAGATTGATAGACCCCAAGTTACCAAGTTTTATACATGTAAGCGAGCGAGGAAGGGAGGGCCACATAATGAGTAAGGGTTTATTCAGTTGAGAGGAGGGGTATGTTTTTTTTGTATCATTTTGAGGTTCAAATTTTGAGTGTAGAAAGGTAGAGTTAAGGAGCTCTAGCTCCCTTGCTTGTATTTCTGGTTTAAATAAATAAGTTGGGTCTTACCAAAGATCACTCCAACTCTATAGGGTGAAGAAGACTCTCTCACTTGGATTTTGGATATATCGGACACCTTTTTGACTAGATCCATTCCATCTACAAGTTTTTGACATCCACAATTCTATAAAAATCTTTAGGCTCTCCGTGTCCCATAGTATGTTATGTAAGTTCTTGTCTCTTAGTTTGGGTGGTCTCAGATTCTTGATACAAATGATAAGATTCAGATTCGAAATTCGAACTTTCTACTCACTCCAACCACAAGTATCCTCTGGAATGCAAATTTGATAGACCCCAAGACCACCTTTTCTAACTTGCCTTTACTTGTATAGCCTCTGGGTTAAGATTTTGGGCATTTTCTAGTGCAATTCATTTTGGCAGTCTTTTGGACACCACCTCTTTGGTATTTTTGTTGACCAGGCTTTCAGGGACCAAAAATACATCTTATAGGTCAATGCCTGCAGCTCCTATGGCATATTTGACTGGAGCGTACTTGTAGAATATCCAACTCAGTGGAGTGAGAAGTTTCTGATCCTTACACAATTCCATCATTGGGCATTTGGTACAGGGGAATCAGAGGGTGGRAATGGGAATGGCTTTAGAGTTAACTTGTTTGGAACAGGGGTTAGAACTTAGAAGATAAGGAATGGGAATAACCATTTCCTTGGCTTCTCATATACCCATGAAGGAGGGTATTCTATACCCTCCAAAAAGTGTGGGTTTTCT